GCCCATCTGAATAAGATACATGGTAGTGTCCATTGCACTCAGTCCCCCTCAGCACCATCCCTTACCTCTCTCTAAAAGTGAGTTTCAAGGGGTTAAAATAATAGAGGATATCAAACAAGAGCCCACTTTTTGTAGAAAACAGTGATTAAATAGAGGCTTCCTGACCAGTGATTTAAATCTTAATTAAAGCCATGATTTAAATCATTTTGATTTAAATCAAATCCACCCTACACAGCTTAGGTGGGGAAGTGAAGAGGAAATAAAAATGTATTCTGTGTAGTGGCTCACCATGACTTGGAAACAAAAAGAGTTGGTGCTGAGAGGGACTGAGTGCAATGGACACTACCATATATCTTATTCAGATCAGCACCCCACACAGTGGGGGAGGAAGTAGGGCAGGGACTGAGACACACACTGCCTAGCTGGGCTGGGGCGCAGGATGGAGCCATGGCTTGTCCGGGTGGCACAGGGTAGGGGGGCGGCTCTCACCACTGTGCACACCCCAGGAGGGCATGGGGGGGCGTGGGCCCCCGATCTGTGCTGGGGGTCCTGCTGCTGGGCTTTTCCTGTTGTGTGGTAGCTGTGCTTAGGGCTGTGGGCCTGCGCTCCCGGTGCATGGGGGCTGCACTTGGGGTGGGCAGCAGCAGCGCTGGGAGGGGGATATGGGGGGGCTGCAGCCACCCCAAATTTTGCTGTAGCCAGCCTGTAGCCCCCTCCTAGCACTGCAGCTCCCACGTGCCAGAAGTGCAGCCCTCAGCATGGCCGTGCAACCCCCACATACCAGGAAGAGCCTGATGCGGTCCCAGCCCACAGCTGCAGCCCCCCAGCCTCCCCCCGTAGATCAAGAGCACGTGCCCTTCCCCCATGCCCTCCCTCAGAGTTATAGACTCTGATGTAGGAGTCTTCAAAAAGTTAGGTGTGTGACAGTAAGTGGCATATTGCTTATGTTCCTGTGTGGTTGTGCCTCTGTTTTTAAATAAGCTGTGTAGCATTACTGCTTTTTCAGTTCCCACATTGTGAAACATTGTTAAATTCTTATTTCTGATGAAAACCTTATCTGCTGGGGAGCAGAGAAGAGCAGAAGATTCAGCGTCCACCAGAGATCTTGCCAAGCAGATCTAATTTATTTGGGCCATGATTGAATGCTATGGTGATAAGTGTTATAGAAAAACTTATGGAGAACTTGGCATCTAACATTTTTGAAGTTCTGCCAAATTTGGGCCTTTAGTATTACACATTACCACCTGTAACTTCTGTATTTGCAATTTTACTACTCAGTGGATACATCTACACATGCATTCATGTGCCTTTGCATTAAGTCTAGTGTCTCTAATATAAGGTATGACATAAAGGCGCATTAGCCCGCGCTAATGTGCAGTAGAAAAAGCAAACTTTTTTTTGTGACGCTTAATGTGCAGTAGACTAATTCTACTGCATGTTAGTGCATTAGCACGGCTTTTGCCATGATGCGCAGATGCATAGGAGAATAGACTACTGCACATTACGGTGTCTCATGTAGACGTGCCCAGTGAATGGCTTGTGTTTTGCATCTTTCTGGGTGTATATCCATTTATCCAGAAAGAAAAAATTCCCTAAGCAAGCTCTTTACCTATAGGATTTTGGGTCCACCTGCAGAGAACAGGAGGAACAATGACAAACCTTGTAAAGGCAGTCCTCAGATTTACAAGACAATTTGTTCCTGAAAACTGTGTCTTAAATCGAAACGTTGCAATTTAAGAATCTCTTTTCCCATAGAAAACAATGTTATAAATGGGGGGTTGATTCCTAAACCAAGGCCTGATACTCTATTTTCACCAAAAATAACCCAGGATTTTGTACTTGATCAATTATAGATGAGTATTATAGCTACATTAATGTATTTATATTGTAAATAGCAAACATATTGATTTAGAAGGACTTCTTTAAGGTGACTTTGCTCAACTTTTTGAAGGGCTCTTGTTTGGACTTTTTGAAGGGCTCCTGGCTGAAGTCTTCTCAGAAGACTTGGCTGCAGATTTTTTGGAGTCTTATCTGCTTTCTTAAAGAAAGTATCCAAGGAAGTTTGAACAGAAAGTCTCCAGGGAGGTGGACAACACAGCGAACTTGTTCACTGGCATGGCATTGGATCAAGTGTTGTAAAGTCGAAATTGACATCAGAAAGTCAAAACTTTCGATTTAGAAACGTTGGCAGTGCAAAATGTAACTCGAAACATAAGTCGAGGACTGCCTGTATTTGTAAACCTGAGCATTCATTTCTTTCCTAGTTCTCTAGGGAACATGAAAGCAGAAACTCTGGTAGTGTTTGTTTCTGTTGTATACAGCCTTTTCTACTTACAAAAGTAAAGAACGAGTCTGTAGAAAAAGTGCTTGTCACTCACTTACTGATGGGACTCTACTTGCATTGCTGGTGACCATACCTCCCTTAGGCCAAAGTTGAACTTCAGTCCTGTACTTTCCTGAAAAAGAGCTATCTATTTTTATTCTGTGTGATCCATTACCCAGAAGAATACCCCAGGGCCGATGGCTGGATGAGTACAGCACAGTGAATATTTTATCAGTACTCATTTTATGCATTTTAAAGGCACCTGCTGTTTTGATGCTTAAACATCATCTAAGGATTAAGATGCCTCCTAATCCTTTTAACTCCTCCTCCCAGGCATTGCTTTCCTTTTCTTTACTCTCTCTCTCTTTCTTGACCATCACCTTTTTTTTTTGTCTTGTTTCTTGTGAAGATGATCAGCATGTTCTTATTTCAAATATGTTTGGTCATTTTAAACTAGGACACATTTTTCTTGTTGCTCATGTCTTGCATGTATTGGAGTAATTTGGAAAGACTGTAAAATCAAACATTGTTTTTTTTTCTCTCCCCAGGTTCGGCACAACTGCTGTTTAATGCAACCAAGTCCGTTAATCTATCCACTTGTAACGAAAGTGCCATCCTGCCTTGCATAGTAAATAATCTAGCATTCCACAGTGCTGGTGACATGTTTGTCAAGTGGAAATTTAACGGAATAGAATTTTTCACATTTGATGGATTCAGCAAGAAATTACACAGAAGTGGCAATTTTTCATCTGCTAATTTTGCATCTGAGAAGGATTTACCCAAGGGTATTGCCTCTTTGTCAATCTTAGCAGCACAAGCACGTCCTGGAAACTACGCCTGTGAAGTAACAGAATCGAATAGGGAAGGAGAAATTGTAGTTGAACTTAAAATCTCTGTAGGTAAGTTGTGTATTATCATATACCAGTAAAAGGAATGGATGGATCTTGTCGGAGGGAACACTGAAAAATGAATGTGTCAGTGAACTACTAGCAGTGAAAAATACCAAAAACATGGAAGTCAGTAATGTAATCCTAGTAGTCCTGGGCATGTATGTTTTCTGGAAGTCAAAATTAATGCCTCTTTAAGCATTGGGCCTGCTGATTGGTAATTTTGGTAATTTTTAAGGTGTGAAGCTTTCCCGGGTCCTTTAGTTTTATAATCTGAAGCATTTCTGGCATGCATACTTTACTGTATATGTATGTTACAACTCTAAATATATGTACATTACTATGATTCAAATGCTATTTCACATGTTAATTGAGTTACAGAGACCTTTCTTAAAATTTGAAAAGCTAGTTTCCCAGTGTAAGAGCTTCAAGATTTGGTCTATAGCTATGCATGTTTTGTAGGAATTGAGGAAGTTGCTGTCAGGACTGTAACTTATTAGTAAAGCCCAGTTAAGGCCAGTTAATGGGAGATGTTTAATCTAAAGCATTTTCCATGTATCACTGAGACAATTAATTATTACAAAACATGCTGTTTTAATATCAGTTGGCATTAAAACAATTTCCCACTTATGTCAATCAGATATTATAGATTTGCTGATGCAAACAACACTGCAATGTCCATTTTGATCAAGCATGCAAGTATGCTGTATGCAAAATAAACATAACTTCCAAAGTGGGGCATGCTCCAGAAGAGGATCAGAAGGGGCCCTTTTGCCTTGCATGTGAAAATCCCACTGAAGTGAAATTGCTTCAGGGCTGCAAGTGGTTGGCTGTGTCTGGGAGGTGAGAAGTAGTCCCAGCTGGTTCCATAGTGTTGCATTCCATCAGACCCTAGTGGATGCAGATCATTCTGAAGTATGGCTTGTGATGGGTGATTTCCTTGTCTTTGGATTTGTTGACAAAATAAGGTTGTGAATCTCTGATTGTCTTCTCAACAGATGTCATGTTTTCCTTTGCTTAGCACTATGGTTTTGAAAAAAGTGTAAAGAATAGCATACTGGGGGTAGGAATATCAAATGCTTTCATAATAGTTTGCCCAAGCTAAGAATACCTTGAGAGAGTGTGGGGGAGAATCTTCACTGGAAAGTTCTGGTTAGTGGAAAAACTGTGCTGGGAAAATGATGACTGGGCTTGACAATATTTTGCTTGAGATTTTAATTGCAGATAAGGCGGGTAGCTGAAGTCCACAAGGGGCCTCACATGTTGTTTCAAAATCATTTTGTATACTTCATTTCTGATTTTTATTTAGTTTTTAAAAGCTTCTTTTAAGATGAAAATATAGTAATGACACAAAATCTGCCATCAGGGAATGAATCGGACTGCCAAGACCGCCTGCCATGCCCGTCTGGTAAGCCCTTTGCCACCCATGCCCCTGCCCACTGACCTGCCTGCTGTCAGGTAGCATACCTGGAGCCAGGGGCCCCACATGGGGGTGGGGGCCCCCTTCCTCTCCTCCTCTCTGCTCTGCCTAGGCAAACTCCTTCTCTGCTCCCTGGAGTTTCCCCCCATGACACATGGAGAGGCAGTGCAGAACTTTATTGAGCAGCCAGTGCTCTCGCAGTTGGGCATCCAGTGCCCTGTCACTTGCAGAGAAACCCATCCATGACAGCAGCAATCTCTGTGTTTGCTGGGATCAGGGACTTGTAATATAGTCAGAGGTACCTCTCCAGGTGATAGTGCACATTTCAAGGAAGCATAGGTTTCCCTTGGGCACCCCTCAGTACACTCAAACAGCTTGTCATGGCACTCCAAGCAGACTCTCAGCAGGGGCATGCTTGGGACATAGTCCATGCATGGCAGGTGCCCAGGACCGGGCCCCTTCTCCGGAGAGGACCTCATTTGGGAGGGTGGGGGTGTCACCAGTTCCACTTGCCAGCTGTGCGGGAGCTCCTCCCCTGTCTCCCCAACTCTGGGCAGTGTGGTCTGGTGCCTCGGAATCAAAATGTCTAGCCTGCAGGAAGAGAAACGGGGGGTGTTGGTTTGGAGCTGCCATGGCAGGTGGCAAGAACCAGCCCTGCCCTGGCCTGGGTAGGGATGGCAGAAGGCAGGCTGACTGCAGGAAGCGTCAAGCAGGCCACCTGCTCCTTTGGAGGGAGTGGGGATGGAGGGCTTAGCCAGTGGCCACCTGTGGCAGGGTCTGCCTGGCCAATTTAGCATGATCCCTGGATTCCTCAGCTGCCTGGGCAGCACACACCATTCTGAGGCTGGGTGGCACACAGCCCCTCAGCATAGCGCGTGTTATCTCTAAATGTTGCAAATGCTCACAAAAAGCCCCTCTCCTGGCTTTGCATGTCCAGTAGCTACACACGGAGGAAATGCACCAGTTGCTACTGGGGATTAACCTCTAAGGACACCACTATGGTCAGCTGGTGCCTTCCGCACACGCTGCCTCCACCAGCAGCATCACACAAGAATGCATCCTCCTGCTGGACAAGCTGGTCACTGTGGTAGAGGAGTAGCTGGTATACTTGCAGGCCTGATGCACCCAGGACATGGAGCGGGAGAGGGACTGGGTGGATTGTGCCTTGTGGCACAGGCTCCTCACCCTCCAGAAGAGGCACAATGCCCTCCTCAAGAGGATGCTCATGTTGTAGGAGTGACAGGCTGCCTTGGTGGCCCAGGAAGGGGACCCGAAAGTGGACCAGAAGTACTTCTGGTCCACTTCTGTGTCCACCGTGGAGCACATGGGGGAACCCCTGCCCCCAGACTCATTGAGTAGTGTCTCCTGGGTCACACTCGGTGGTGACCTGGAAGTGGACCGGAAGTACTTCTGGTCCATTTCTGGGTCTGCTGCCAAGCACACAAGGAAACCCCACCCCCCACACTCCTGTGAGGTGCTTCATCCACCCCACCATCTCAGTGTTCACAAGCCGCGCCTGGTACCTCAAGGTACGTAGAAAAAACATATAAAGTGGTGTCTATAGCCAAATCACTGATTCTCTGAATCGGAAACTAATCTTCAGATTCGACCAAATCAAATCGGGACGGTGATCCGAATCAGCGAATTGAATCACTGTCCCCCCAAATCCAGCAGGTTAAGGCACTCAAGGGAATCCACTCCTACCCCAGTCCTGAAACCATGTCCTACTGGGAGCGCAGGGAAGATTAGTGCTTCAGTGGGACACTTACATGCTTGTACACCAATGCCAGGAGCTTGGGGAACAAACACGAGGAACCGGTCCTCCTGCTAAACAAGAATGACTGTGATCTCATAGGGATAACGGAGACCTGGTGGGACTCCACCTAAGACTGAGCCATAGGTATAGATGGCTATACCCTATACAGGAGAGATCGTGCAGAAAAAAGGGGCGGGGGTGTAGCGCTCTATGTCAAGGAAAGCTACACATCCCTGCAACCTGACATTGGCACAGGGGACACAATGTTAGGAGTCTACTACAGACCTCCTAATCAGGAACAAGAGCTTGACCAGGAATTCGCCAAGGAACTGGCTGAGGCTGCACACTCTCGGTCCATGGTTGTCATGGGAGACTTCAGCTACCCGGGCATCTCGTGGTAAGAGCACTTGGCCGAATCTGAATGGTCACAAAGCTTCCTCACATGCGTGTATGAGCTCTATCTGACTCAAGAAGTCTATGCACCAACAAGAGGTAAAGCGCTGCTCGACTTGGTCCTGGCAAAGGGGGATGATCTAGTCAGTAACCTAAGAATTGAAGGGAAGCTGGGAGACGGTGACCACGAGCTAATCACTCACTATCCACCACAAAGCTGGCAAGTCCGTCAGCAATGCAGGAGTCCTCGACTTTAGGACAGCTGACTTTGATAAGCTCAGGAGGCTGGTTGTCTAGGACCTAAGGGACCACAACTTGACAGGAAGAGGAGTTCAGGATGAGTGGTTGCTCCTCAAGGGGGCGATCCTGAAAGCACAAGTGATGTCCATCCCATCCTGGAGGAAAGGTAGCAAAAGGGCACAGCAACTTCCTGGGCTCTGCAGGGAACTCATGGACCTCCTGCATCTAACAAGAGAGACCTATAAAGGATGGAAGACTGGAATCACCACAAAGGAGGAGTATTCTGCACTAGTCCGGATCTGTAGGGAGTGAACCAGGAAAGCCAAGGTTGCAACCGAACTTTAACTGGCTTTTTAAGGACAATAAAAAGTCCCTTTTTTAGATATGTGGGGAGTCAGAAGAAAAGCAAAGGTAACATTGGACCCCTGCTAAACCAAATGGGACAACTGAGAAGTGACACCCAGGAAAAAGCCAGCCTGCTTAATGGGTATTTTGCATCAGTTTTTCACCAGCCCAAAGGGACCGCCGTGCTTATCACAATGCAGGACGCCCAGGGTGAGGGGGAATTTATATCCTACATCACTGTAAACCATGTAAAGGAACATCTTGAGAGGCTGGACACCTTCAAGTCAGTTGGTCCAGACAATTTACACCCCAGAGTACTTAAGGAGCTGGCAGACATCATAGCTTAGCCACTGGCAAGGCTCTTTGAGAACTCGTGGCACTCAGGTAAAGTTCCCTAAGATTGGAAGAAGGCCAGTGTGGTGCTTATCTTCAAGAAAGGCAGGAAAGTAGATCTGGGGAACTACAGGCTTATCAGCCTGACCTTTATCCCTGGGAAGGTCTTGGAAAAAATGGTCAAAGACACTATTCTTGACAACCTGGCTGATGGCAACATCCTGAGGGACAGCCAGTATGGGTTTGTTGCAGGTAGGTCTTGCTGACCTATCTCATCTCCTGTGACCAGGTGACATATCACCTGGGCAAGGGAGAACAGATTGGACTATAAAAAAGCTTTTGATCTGGTGTCCCATGATCTCCTCATGGAAAAATTGACCAACTGCAGCCTCAGGTACATCACAGTCCAATATCTGGGGAATTGGCTCCGAGGTCGGACCCAGAGAGTGGTAGTCGACAGAAGTGCTCGGCGACCAGTCCTGTCTCCCAAGGCTCCATCCTTGGACCTATACTCTTTAACATCTTTGTTAATGATGTGGACATTGGTGTGAGAAGTGAACTGGCCAAGTCCAGTAATGATACCAAACTTTGGGGTAAAGCGTCCACACCTGAGGATAGGCTGGTGATCCAAGCCGACCTTGACAGGCTCAGAAAATGGGTGGATAAAAACCTGATGACATTCAATACGGAAAAATGCGAGGTATTCCACCTTGGGGGAAGCGGGGGAACCTGCATCATGCTTACAGGCTCAGCAGTGCTACATTTGCTAGCACCACGGTTGAAAGGGACTTGTGGGTCATGACTGACCACAAGATAAACATGAGCTACCAATGTGATGTTGCAGCTGCTAAAGCAAGCAAAAGTCTGGCTTGCATCCATAGATGCCTCTCAAGCATATCTCAGGATGTCATCCTCCCGCAGTACTCAGCCTTGGTGAGGCCATAGCTGGAGTACTGTATCCAATTCTGGGCTCCACGATTTAAAAAGGATGTGGAAAAGCTTGAGAGAGTCCAGAGGAGAGCCACTCGCATGATCAGAGGGCAAGAGAACAGGCCTTATGATGAGAGGCTGAAAACCATGGGACTCTTCAGCCTGAAAAGCACTGGATCAGGGGTGACTTAGTGGCTGCCTATAAGTATGTAAGGGGTGTACGTCAGGATCTGGGGGAACGCCTGTTTAACAGGGCACCTCAAGGGATGACAAGATCAAATTATCACAAACTCCTCCAAGACAGTTTTAGGCTGGACATAAGGAAAAACTTCTTTAATGTCTGAGCCCGCAAGGCCTGGAATAGACTGCCTCCAGAGGTGGTGCAAGCACGTACTCTGGACTCCTAAGAAACATTTGGACATCTATCTTGCTGGGATCCTTTAATCCTAGCTGACTTCTTCCCCTGGGGCAGGGGGCTGGACTCTATGATCTTCCAAGGTCCCTTCCAGCCCTGATGTCTATGAAATCGGGCTGAATCCGAATCAAATACTGCCTGCTTTGCACTGGACACCATCCTGGTCCTGGTGGTCACCTTCATGCCACCCCTGGCCGCAGCCTTGCTTGCCCCTGGGCGTAGGTTGTGGAAGACCAGGGTGAGCGAGGCTTAGCTCCTACCCAAACCTAGTTGGCGACAGTGTCTCCAGTGCGACTGCCACCGCAGCACCATGCCCAGCGACCCCGCTGTGTGCTTCTCCGTCACTGTGCACTCCTCTGCTGCCACATGCACAACACCAGTGCACGCTGGCCCTAGAACAGCCCTGCAGGAGGAAGCAGTGAGGTCAGGTGGGCACTGTCTGCTCTGCCCAGCTTCCTTTAAATAATATTTTCTAGTGCCACTTATGCCCCTGGCAACCACCCATGACCCAGCACCAAGCCCCACAATGGGCTTGGGATGACATGCAGTAGTGCTTACAGCAGCCAGGGCTCCCTGCCACTGCTCCTGAGCCAGGTCTCCCAGCAGCCAGGTCCCCCACCTGGGCCTTTCCCTGCCACTTGCCCAGGTGTCATGTGGCCCCTGAGCAGGAGCTGCCAACAGCAGGACCAGCACCGCACGTGGGCCCTGCTGACCTTGGGCCCCAAGGTGGAGGAGGGGGAGCACGCTGTGTAGCCTGAACAGTGGCTGTCCCCACCCATGGCCAAGAACCCAGCCCACTGGCTTCAACATGGTATCTGCACCTGTGGTGGTGTGGCCAGAGGCTGGGGTGCTGAGAGCCTCTCCCTGGGCTCTGTCCCATAGGCATCTCCATCCCTCCATTCCTCTCCCTGGAGGGCACACACAACACGGTACATAGTTGCACAGGGAAATGGGTGCTTTTTTGGTGGCAGGTAGTGGGGTTAGTGGTGGGGACTTGTGGGGACTGTTGTTGTGGAGGGAACTAAAGACTGTTGCTTGAAACTGTCAATAGTGTGTGTGGTTTTGAGGTTGCCCTGTGGGCCTGGGATCCATGGGTGGCTGCCCAGGTGCCCTACTGCAGGGGGTGGGGGAGAAGGTGGTTTGCGAGTGCCTTGTGGATATGCTGCCTTGTCCGCCACTGTTGTGGGGGAGGGTGGGGAGGATGAAGGACTGAAAACAGTGGCCAGTGACTGGAAGAAATCAATGTGGAGATTAGTATTGTGTGCATTTGCAATAAAATGTGTGACACAGCCAACAGCGTGCTATTCCTTGCTTTTGCTTAGACATGGGAAAAGTGATGTAGAAGCACCCCTGGAATTTTCTGGAATGTGAGTTACAGCAACTGGAATCCTGAATGAGTAGGAAGCAGCCTGTCATATTTATCAAATCACCTGGGGTGGTCAAGATCAGACAGCTGATGTTATCTTTAATATTAAAACTTGTAGCAGACAGATTACTAAGCAGGCCCCAGAATAAGCTAAAATGAGCACTAGAATATAAATCTAATAACTTAATTTTTTTCTGTCTCTTCCTCTCCCTTTGTGTCTTTAAATTTTTAGGAAGCTGGTTTCCTCCAGTCGAAAGTGTTTTCATCATACTCTTCCTGTTTTTGGCTATTATTTTTTCTTGGGCTCAGTTATGTGTAGTTGGTGAGTATTAAGTTCTGTTCATTCTTTATAAATACTGAATTTTAGCACTAAAATGACATGAGTCTATAAAGCAGCAACATGAAATGGAATAATAGAAGGTAGTACTTAAGTTCAAAAGGTGGAAATAGAAGCTGGTTTTGGTAGCACATTAGAAAGCTGACTTTTAGGATCCAGTCTAGCAAATGCTAATGAGTGTTGTTTTTACTACTCCAAGCACTGATGCTAGTGGCATGTTTTCCAGGAAAAGGTCTATTGACTATAAATTTTACAGTAGGTAATTAATATCCTTAAAGTAACTTATGTCAAGAAGGATTTATTTTGTTTTATGTGGTTGTCACATCACCGTGACATTAATGGTTCATCCAAGGAATAGAAAGATATTTCAGTTTATGGCAGCACAAGTATTATTGCAGAGATGATGCTTTCTTCTTAATGTAACACTGCACATTGGTTTAATTGAATTCATGTAAGTTTAATTTAGTACCAGCATATCGTCCGCTGTGTTAAAATACTTCCAGTACCAACAGTCTGGGTGGTGATGAGAGAGACACTAAATTCCTAAAGTTGACTCTCTTTTGATGTCTGGATTTTATACAGTGCGTCTTCATTCTGTACTGTAGGCTCTGTATTTTAAACTTTCTGTTTAAAATGGTGGTGAATTCTGATGTCTCTAACTCTTTGAAGCAAGTAAAATATTTGCTAATTTGCTGATCTCTGTTTTTTTGTCAGGACCAATTTTGACTTGATGTTTTCATTAGCAAAGTTCCAGAGTCATAATTACCTGACATTATGTGTCTGCACATTATCTGGCAGTCAGATGCTACTGTGGTGGCTATCCTAAAGTATGTAAAATATAGATAAATCGGGAGAGAGAGCAGTGATACTTTACAGAAGAAAATTTGAATCAACCAGATTCCCTTTGATTTTAAAGTTGACTATTTCTCAGGGCTTACTTAAGATGTTAATTAACCCTTCTGATTTCCACCCACCCCACCCCCAAGCTTTGTCACAGTATCTTCCTTTAATGGTTCATAACACTTGTTTTCACCTTTACCTGGTGTTCAGGAACATGTGGATTTTTTTTGTAGGGGCTTGATGTATAGAGATTTAATATAATGCATTCATTAATTATTTGTTGTCAGTCCAGTTGGCTGTTTAAATTAAAATAGAGTTGGCTGTATTTTAATTTTATTCTATATACCCTCAGAACATAGGATTAGAAATAGTTTTAAAACTCCAAATAAATTATTTATTTAAATTCCAGTAGTAAAGGAGTTACAGTTGTGGATTAGGGCCCTGTTACAAGTGAAAAAGATGGATCTTGCAGCAAGGAGATCAGTCTGGCTCTTGCATAATAATGCATTTAGAAAGATAGCTGAGGAAAAATGTAGAGATTTTTTGTATACGCTCTACCCTAGTCATGCTGGGGAAACTTTTTATTATATTTACTTGATAAGAGATTTTTTGATGCTGACATAGTGTTGCTTATTTTTATACTGCACAAAATCAAATCAAACTTAGCTTAGTTACAGACTCCCCTTTCTGAACATACCTGATTTATTTTATTGCAGAACTAATTTTTACAATGTAATCCCTTTACTCCTAACTCCAAAAGCGTGGTTCTGCTCAGATAGTGGCATATTAGTTTTTACATTCAGCTGTCAGGAGTGAAGACAAAATTACTTTTTCAAAACCCAGGATTTTTCTTTCAAAATTTCAACCTGAGAATCAAGCTGTGCTTTTCCTGTCCTGTAGAATTCCAACTTACCTAGCAGTTTTGTTAACAATGCGGAGGGTGGAACCAAACACAGCTGGTGATAATGATCTTATGTTACAGCTTTTCTTCTTCCAAAAGCTCCCGAAGTGTAGCTATTATGTAACCCACCATTGAAATGAGCCACTTCTGGAATGGATGGCAGTCTGTGCTTAATAATACAGTTTTGCTGCAAAATAGTTTGATCTATGGTATTTACATGGTAATGCATAAGGGAATCACAGTCCTCAATAAAGTGGCCTCTAGTCCATGACTTGGGGACAACATATCTGTGAGATGCTCTGATATCACTTGTGTCTGACAGGTAAAGGAAATTCTGATGTTAGCTGCAGCTTATTACTCCCTTAATGCTGTTTGCCACTGGGCAGCAAAGTTTGGAGATTGCCGCTTTAATAAACTTAACCTTAAAGAGTTTATATCAAGTAGGGGAATTTAATTCCTCATCTATTAAAAGCGACTGTGGCAGCATCAGTTCAAATACACAGTCTCTGGTTAGGCAGAGAATTGAACCAAGGTTTTTCAAGTCCCAGGTTACTGCCCTAATCTCATGAAAAAACATTCAGTGTAACTTTAAAAAAATGAATACCTTATTTAATTGAACTAGCAAGAGGAGTTATGAGAGTTGATTTAGATTGCAGCAAACAGTGGGAGTTCGGCCTGGGCTGCACAGTAAGGCAAGATTGGTAATTTAACCAAGATGCTTAGCTTAAGTTTTCATAGATTTCATAGATTTCATGGACATTAGGGCTGGAAGGGACCTCGGAAGATCATCGAGTCCAGCCCCCCGCCCAAAGGGCAGGAAGTCAGCTGGGGTCATAGGATCCCAGCAAGATAAGCATCCAATCTACTCCTGAAGGTGTTCAATGTAGGTGCTTGAACCACCTCCGATGGCAGGTTGTTCCAGACCTTGGGAGCTCAGACAGTAAAGAAATTCTTCCTTATGTCCAGCCTGAAACAGTCTTGCAGTAGTTTATAACCATTCGACCTCATCGTCCCTTGGGGCACTCTGGTGAACAAAAGTTCCCACTGGTGGTGGTCCATCAGTGTCACTGGGGCAATTGGAAAAGTGTGCGATATTAAGATGTTATTTTTGAGGGATGCTTTTTTCTGACTGATCTAAATTTAAGAGGAAAACATGTCATATCTAATGCATTATTTCTGTATCTCTCTCCATTTTTCTTTTAAGCATCAAAATTTGAAATTGGACTTGGAAAGAAGGTTGGCTTGATTATTACAGGAAGCATCATAGTAATTGCTGGTGTTGTTGGTGCTATTCTTTTAGTCCCTGGTAAGTGCAACAAATATGTCCATTCCTAGACATTTGTGTCCTGCTTTTCAGAATGTAGGAGCATACATAGTTTTTATTTCTTTCAGCAGGAGCTAAATCAGTCAGCACCTCTGAAATAAGCAAAGCAAGTAGCTTGTTCTTTTTTTGTTGTTGTTAATTTTGCATAATACTTATTTTTGTGTACTATCAGCAAAAATGTTTAGAGGGTATAATTTTCAGCGGTCAGAAAGGCGGTGTTGGGAATTCTAGGTAGGAACAATGTAGTGACTGCCCCATCACCAAATGAGCCATAAGAAAATCTGTAAAAGTGGAAGAGTTTCCACAAAAATTTCATATAGGATCTGTGACATGAAACAAGTATGATTTGCTTGGCAGCAGCATAGCATGTTTTTCTTTTCAGAACAACAGATTGTATAAAATAGAATAATAACGTAATGCTGCACACCACAAATGGGCCTTATGCCCTGCCTTTGGAAATGGAAATATTTCACACTGGGAACATTTAAATACAAGTCCACTTGTCTTTCATGTGTCTCAAGTTTTCTCATGATGTGCTAGGTATAAGAGTATTACTCAAAACTTGCTCAGCTGATGGCTTGCTGTCTATTTTGACCCAGTAGTAATGATGACAAAAGGCTAGATTCTTAGATTTGCACAATAGTGCTCAGCTTCAGTATTTTGCTGTTTTTGGATTTGAACCTGCTTTCATTGAAATGGCAAAATTCCTCCTCTGACTTCATTCTGCACACAGAGCAGGTAATTGTATCAAAACCTGAGCAGACCCAACAGGAAGAAATGTGGATTATACTTCCACAACAAATGTTGACCTGCACTCTGATCTTATATGCATGAGGAAGTTTACATATAAAGTCTGAGGGATTTAGATTAAATTAATTGCTCAACTAACATTACTTGTATATATGTTTTGAGTCCTTACTTGTGTAATCAGGTTAATAGCTCAGCTGTGGTAGAGAAACTCATTTTTCCATAATATCAAAAGGAAACAAAAAATACATTTCTAGTTCTTTAACCATGTTCCTACTTCAATGTGAAAGCATTTTTATTTTGAAATCGGAAAAAGAAAGGGAGTCAATTTAATATACAGATTAAAGGACATGATAAGGGACTTTAATCTTTTATTTTATGCTTATATAGAATTCCAGTACAAGTCAGTAGATAGAGTAGCTTCAGGCTCAAGTCACAGATACATTTAAAGCCATTAAAATATGTTGACATGCTATCGTTTGTGTATTTGTTTTGGTATTTAAAGGATTTTATTTTACAGATTATTTATCACTAAGTTTTAAAGTAATCAGGTAAACAATAATAAAAGTAACATTCATGTTTGAGTTCATTGGCTCTTTGCAAGGACACCATTTAAAATCTGTAATCTGTTTTTCCTATTTTGATTTCCTAATGGGTAATTCTGAGCTCTTAAGAGGCGCTTTTGTCACCACTGAATGCCAAGTATGTAGTTTACTAGATGGAGTCAAAAATAGTTTTTCATCTGGTTCATGTTTGCATTATATTCACAGCTGTCTCCTGCAGATCTCTGTTCAGCTCACAGACTGCATAAAGCAATATCATACTCTGAAAAAAATCAGTATCAGTTATTAATTGATTACAATAGTGCTCAGCTTCAGTATTTTGCTGTTTTTGGATTTGAACCTGCTTTCATTGAAATGGCAAAATTCCTCCTTTGACTTCATTCTGCACACAGTAATTGATTACTCCAGTGGATGATCTGGCTAAATATATAGCAAAAATAGATGGAACTTTCTTGGAAGGCAACCTCTTTCCTCACCCTTAGGAGTTTAGCCCATACACTGGCCTGCAACATTAACAATGTAGACCAGTGGTGTCCAACCTTTTCACCTTGTGGGCCAGATGGGTAGTGTCAGGTTCAGCTGATAGACTCAATCCAGGGGGCTGGCAGAGGAAGCTCCATTTTGCTGTTGGGGACTACATCCTGAACCTGATCTGTCCGTCGGGAGCTGTGGGGAGAAACCAGGTCTCAATCTGGATGCATGTGGGGGATGGGGATGGAGCAGAATGGTCCCAGTCCTGATGTGGGGGGTGACTGGAGGTAACCCAGTCCCAATCCAGATGTGTTGGGTGTGGGGGGAGGAGGAACGGAACAACCCTGATCTGGACTTAGTGGGCTGGGGGGCAGCCCAGCCATAATCTGGACATGCTGGGGGCAATGGGGCAGGGCAGAGCAGTCCTGATCCAATTGCTCCATGGGGGGTGAGGGAGGCAGCCCAGCCCTGATCTGGACACGCAAGGTAGATGGAGCAGCCTCAATTTGGGTGTGCCAGGGGGAAAGGCGGGGGGGGCGCTAGATGGGAAGTAGCCCAGCCCTGATCAGATGCTAGGGGGTGGGTGTGGTGGAGTGGCCCCTATCTGGATGCATGGAGGGGTAGGGAGAAGCCTGCCCTGATCTGGACATGTTGGCGGCTCGGTCTGGTCCTGATTTCGCTGCATGGCAATGGCTTGGGCAAGTCTGGACCCTACCACATGAATCTTCCCCACCCCCCAGCTGCCAATTTCTTCCAACCCATGGGGATCCCCACATGCCAGGCATTGTGGCTTTGTGGGCCAGATTTGGCCCCAGAGGCTGAGCACCCTTGATGTCTTTGGATTAGTCTGTGTGAGTTTCATCAGGATCTGTCTGTGTAGTGCGCAGAAGCTTTACTCAACTTACCTATCCAGAAATCTGTGGTCATAGACAGAAGAGTTGAGACACAGAGTAGTGTTAAATATAATATAGACAGTGAAAGCTGCTTTTACAGAAAGAATAATCAAGGAACTAAATAAGATTTAAGTCAGTTGGTGGGTTAGTTCCCCTCCCCCCCAATATTCCTGTATAGAATCTGGTAGTAAACAAAAAAAAAAAAGCTTTGTTCTCAGGTGCAGCACTTATAATGTTGTATTTCCTTGAATAGAAGGCCATCCTGAATGTAAGACGGCCCCCACAATAATTAGATTTTGTATGTGGGAAATTTATAAAATTGTTATAAAGAAGATTCATTCCCACATGGCCTGACAGCTGTTGCCAGGTAGTAACTTCACTGGTGACAAAATGTCTCTTGCACTTATCACCTCCTGCAACTTACAGTAGTTCATCAGGATTGATGGGGTCTTGTGCAGATCGTGTTTGTTCCGTAGATTCATAGACGTTAGGGCTGGAAGGGACCTCAAAGATCATCAAATCCTGCCGCAGGAGCAGGAAGTCAGCTAGGGTCAAAGGACCCCAGCAAGATAAGCACCCAAGCGTTTCTTAAATGAGTCCAGAGTAGGTGCCTGCCCACTCTGGAGGGAGTCTATTCCAGGTCTTGGGGGCTCAGACAGTAAAGAAATTTTTTCTTATGCCTGGCCTAAAATGGTCTTATAGGAGTTTATGACTGTTGGTCCTTGTTTTTCCTTGGGGCACTCTGGTGAACAGACATTCTCCCAGATCCTGAAGAACACCCCTTGTGTACTTATAGGTAGCCACCAGGTGTCCCCCCCCTGAGCCTGCGCTTTTCCATACTGAAGAGTCCCATGGCTCTCAGCCTCTCTTCATAGGGCCTATTCTCTTGCCCTCTGATCATGCGTGTGGCTCTCCTCTGGACTCTCTCAAGCTTCTCAACATCTTTCTTGAATTGCAGAGCCCAGAACTGGGCCCAGCACTCCAGCTGCGGCCTCACCAAGGCCGAGTACAGCGGGAGGATGACAGCCTGAGATTTACTTGAGAAGCGTCTATAGGTGCAAGCCAGGGTTTTGTTTGCTTTACCAGCTGCGACATTACATTGGTGGCTCATGTTCATCTTGTGGTCAGTCATGACCCCCAAGTCTCTTTCAGCAGTGGTGCTAGCAAACTATTTCAGTAGCACTGCTGAGCCTATAAGTATGCTGTGGGTTTTTTTTTCTGAAGTGGAGTACCTTGCATTTATCAGTATTGAACATCATTGGGTTTGTGTCCGCCCACTTACTAACCTTATCCAAGTCAGCTTGGATCACTAGTGTGTCCTCAGGTGTGGACGCTATGCCCCAAAGTTTAGTGTCGTTGGCGAACTTAGCCAGTGCGCTTCTGACACCATTGTCCACATCATTGATAAAGATGTTGAAGAGAACCAGTCCAAGGACAGCCACTTGTTACAAAATGCCATAATGACTTGCTGCTATCAATGACTACTCTCTGGGTCCAACCTTGAAGCCAGTTTTCCAGTGTAGCCGAGGCCACGGAACCTGTTACTGTGGTGTAGCCGAGGCCACGTTTGGCCAATTTTTCCATGAGGAGGTCATGGGACATCAGATTAAAGGCTTTTTTAAAGTCCAGGTATATGATGTCAGTCTCTTTTCCCTTGTCCGGATATGTCACCTGGTCATAGAAGGATATGAGATTGGTCAAGCAAGACCTACCTGCAACAAAGTCGTGTTGGCTATCCCTCAGGATGTTGCCCTAAGTCAGCTTGTCCAGAAGGGTCTCCTTGATAATTTTCTCAAGAATTTTACCAGGGATTGAGGGTCAAGCTGATTGGCCTGTAATTCCCAGGATCTACTTTCTGCCCTTTCTTGAAGATGGGTACCACATTGGCCTTCTTCCAGTCTTCAGGTACTCCACCTGAGCACCACGGATTTTTGAATATTTTTGCCAATGGTTGAGCTACGACACCTGCAAGCTTCTTCAGTACCCTAGGGTATAGTCTGTCTGGACCAGCTGACTTGAAGGAGTCCAGCCTCTCAAGGTGATCCTTTACTAGATCAACACCGATGCTGGGTATAAATACACCCTCACCCTGGCTGTCCTGCCTCTTGCTAGGCAGGGTGGTCCTATTGGACTGATGAAAGTCTCTGAAGTGTTTCAGGACCTTGTAGAAACACAGTGTGTCCATGGGTTTGACTTGGGCAATGTGTAAAATGTTCAGTGTCATAGGAGGTGCCCTGCAGAATATCTTACAAAGTGGGCTGTTTTGGATTCTGTCTTGGTCACCAGTTTGCAGATCTGACTCTTGTATTTGGCCCAGAGGAACATCAGGACATCCATCATTCCTTGGTCTCCAGTCCATTTAGGCTTGCACAGCATGATCTTTACAGACTTCTCCCATCTGGAGCCCCAAAAGAAAGCTCATGTGGCTCTCTGAATTCTAACAGTGACTTGCTCTGAAGGCGGGAAGACCAAAGCAGTGTATAGTTGTACTAGTTGCAGTACTGCCCTCAAGAGGGCACATGCCTCCCCATTGACAGGCAACGTGATTGCCATAGCCCCAGTCTCAGCTTGACTTTGGTCTCGGGCTTTTCCCACACCCTTTGTCCAGTTAGCTCTGGGTTGAACTCCATCCTGAAGATCTTCACCCCTTTGTGGGGAACAGAGACCCACTAAGGGCCTACAGGTCCCTGAGGTCACCTAGTGCCAGGCTAGGTGCTTTTGTTCGAGTTGAATTTGGCACCTGCCACTGCTTCATATACCCGGGTGGGTTGTAGGGCTTTCAACCGACCACTTGTCCCTGCATGTGACAGTTAGGCCAGGTCCCTCATTTCTTCCCGGTTACTCCTGGGGATCTCTACTCTGTTTATCCTGGGGTCCTGCCTCAGCTGCTGGACTAGTGGTTCCATCATGCAGATAAACAGGATCGGGGGAGTAGGCAGCTGTGCCAGACATGTGACTCCAACGTGATCAGAGTTGTCAGGAACCCATTTACCAGCACCCTGCTAATCATGTTGGTGAACATCATCTTTATCTAGGCAATGAAGGTGCAAGGGACCCCCATCTTCTTTAGTTTCTTGAACAGGTATTGGTGGGACACTTGGTTGTAAGCCTTCTCCCAGTTCAGGTTCAGCACAGTGGCATTCAGTCCTCTCTCTGTTGGTACTGTAGTGCACCTCTCAGCTGCAGCAGGGTTCCATGGATCTGTTGCCCTGGCATCACATACATCTGGTCTTTATGGATCGCTGCTCCTGTAACAGTCTTATGTTATAACAGCCCCACACTCATGACTGGAACCAGGTGTTCTTTTCATGAGTCCTAGGATCCTCCCAAAATTTCTATGCAACCTGGTCCAGCTCTACCTTATGGTGGGCAGGGCCTGCTACTCATATGCAACAGGCTGAGGGGGTGACAGAGATTCTGGGTGAACTGTTTGGGGCCCCATTTGGTGATGTTTGCCAGATATTTAAGACTAGTGAAGAAACCAGAGTAATTTGAAATGGGGAGGGGAAGGGGGTCACTGCTTGGGTGTGGGAGTGAAGAGGAAGTCAAAATGTATTCAGTGGAGTGACTCCCTGTGACTTGTAAAAAAAAGTCAGCTCTGAGAGGGACTGTGTGCAATGGGCAGTAGCCTATATCTTATTCAGATGGACTGCACTAACCTAGCATTGTGGTAGGTTCCCATCAGTATGTTTGCCCAATGTGGGCCTGAGAGGTGACTTGCTTTACTTGTGCTTAATGTCTGCCAGATTTTGTGTCCTTCTAATTTGTATAATTGTCTCCAGATGGGTATACACCAAAGAATCGAGCTGGACTTGGTTTACTTGTAGTCCCTGCTGTGATTTTTCTGCCATTACAGTACCTTCTGCTTGGAATAGGTGAGGAATCATTTACTAGCACCAAGGGGAAAAAATCAGAACATTTTATAAGCAGTACCTTTTTTTTTTTAGTTAATATAATATGATAATATTTGTCATTCATTATTAGACACTGTAACAGTGTTTGGTTCCTGGTCTCTCCGGTGAACAAGCAGTTAACCTAATACCACTTGTAAAAGGTGGGGGAGGGGGTGAATTGGCCGATTGGCAGGTGGGAATTAGGGTAAAATGTCTTTGAGTAACTAACACTTGGGGATGGGGTGATAGAGATGGGCAGAACAAGTCTGGGTATTTATTTATGTTTCTCTTTGCAGTGTTTGTCCTTTAAGGGAAAGTCTCAATGACTCATTGAACATTTGTTTTGTTGTCATGTTGTCTTAAATTCAGACAATCCCAAATCCTAGTCCTGCATGGATCATATAATTCTTGTGTTTGTTACACTTCCAAAAGTAAGTGTGTGAGACTCTTTTCCTCCTCTTCTAGTTTTTGAGAACCATTTAAGCCCATCTGCACTTGTTCTGGTGGCTTTGAAATCACTTGGCTACATAATCGCTGTGGTTGGATTTGCCCTGTGCGTCTCAGGTAAGCAATTCCTTTTTTTATTTTTTAGCAAAAAAAATCTATAATTTTAGCACATAGTAAAATGACAAGCATCTCTTGCATAAAACATTTATCTACTTGTTTTACCTTTTGGAATTATTAGAAAATGGACTGTTTGCTAATTAGTGGTAGATTATTCTGTAAAAAAAATTTCTGCTTCATGATTTTACAGTGGAACTACTGTAAGTATACTTTTGGACTACTGTGTTAATGTTGCTTTATCTGGTGCAGGAAATACAGCCCAGTGGCATTATGTTACTTATACTAGTTTCATTACTATGACTGTATCCAGCACAACTACATCCTACAAGCAGTTGCCTCAAAAAGGATTGCTTTAATTTACTTATTATTTTGCACCACTGCATACCCTCAAGGGTCACCTAAAACCAACATTGACCTTTATTATTATGTTGTTCTGATTGGCCTACAATCTTAAAAAAAGCACACACAGAGGCATAATCCATTTCTAATGTTAAAATGAATAAATCAGTAGTGCCTGGTCAATCTCAGCTTGCACTATGTAGGTTTCAACAGCCTCTGTGAAAGGAGAAGATGACAGGAGCTTCCAGAAGGCAAATACACAAAGCAATAAACTTGGAAGTACCTCTGTGCTGTTACGTTTCCAAAAATCCAGTACTCTTTGGTCATGAAAGAGACAAGACTATAGCCCATCTATGATCAGGATTCTTTTGCAAGCTTAGATACAGAGTAAAGGGAGTTGGAACTGACCCTAATGATATCTTGATTTTATGTACAAAAAAAGAGTAGAATAACATTTTCCAGTGATTCTCCATTCCCTCTTAGTAGGTAAGGTATTAGAACCTCCTGAGTCAGGTAAAGAGGCAAATGAGAGGTGTCTCACCCAAACTTTTATTGGTTATACCCCAAAGCATTAAAATAAGCACTTGTCTAAATATCCGTCTAGCTACCTGATATAGTGTAAACTGGAGCGTTTCTCAGGTACCTCTGCATGGCCTCCAATCCCACCCTACAGCCACAATCCAGTCCTCTGGTATAAACTGAAACCAAAATGCCAGCAGCTTGCTTAAAAAAAACCTCACAAAGTGCCTCTGGGTCATCAGTCATACAGCTGCAGATGACCTCCCTTCTCACTGACTCTCTCCTAGCCCACAGAGTACCTCCAGGCTTGCAGCTTTTGCTCCTTGATAGCTTAGGCTGGCCAGAGCTCTTCACTCTAGAGAATTCAGAGCAGCACTAGTCCTTGTGCCTTAGAGGACCCTGGTTTGTATTCCCAGAGTTGCTTCTCCTCCAGTCAGGTGTTCCCCAGACTAGCTGCACGAATGCTCCCTAGGCTTAGTGAGCAGCTTGCTGTTGTTATTCTGCCTCAGCTGCAGTAGCTTCCCTTCTAACTCCTTGGAGCTCTGTCCTGTTGCTCTGCAGCCAGCTACCAGGGAGTTATTTGCAGCCCTTTAACTCCCTACTTACCTAGTCTCTTGCAGCTAGACCAGGTTCAGTTGCTTGATCCTGATAGTCTCCACCTTAAAGGAACAGGAACCTCTGGCTCCCTGTTACACAAAATACTCAATTCTTACTGAAAGGCAAAACATCAGTTGTTATCTTTAGATTTTACTAAGTAGGGATGTGAACAGTTAAACAATTACCTGATGAGCCCAGTTATAACCAGTTCTACCTTACTGGTTATCATTTCATGTGGGGTGGGGTGCAGTCCAGGAGGGAAGTGTGGAAGGGAAGCTATGCGGTGCCCCAGCAGGAATGGGGAAGTGCCAGGGCAGGAGGGAGGTGCGAGGAGGAGGGAAATGGGGAGGGGGAAGGGGTGACTAGTAGGGCTGTGCGAAACGGCACTGTTCTGTTTCAGCCTGAGTTTCGAGTTTGACAGAACAGAGTTTTGTTTCGAATTTCATTTAGATTCGAAACCACTGTTCTGTTTTGTCGAAACAGTGATGCTGTTTCGACGTTTCACCAATACACTATAATGGGGAAGCTCAAAACAGCCTCTGTTATCCGGCAGGCAAATCGGGGGCCTGCAACCCCGGGAGGGCTGTGGGGGCTGTGCCAGTCCTCCCTGGGCTGTGGGCCCCTGATCTGCCTGCCAGGTGAGGGAGAGAGAAACCAGGTGCTGCCATCTGGGACCAGGGAGCTGGGGAAGGGAACTGAGCCCGACTGCTCAGTTCCCTTCCCCTGCCTTGTGATCAGCTTCCTGCAGCCCAGCTGCAGGAGGCGGAAAGAGCCAGGGCCATGCTCGCCACCCAGCTAAGCCACATGGGGCTGCGGAGCCACTGGGAGCGCAGCCCTGGCTCTACCCTGTCTCCCACCACGTAGCTGCTGGCTGCTTTGAAACTCAAAACCTTTCGAAACTTGAAATGTTTTGACTAGCCTCGTTTTGTTTCGAGGCTGTTTCAAAGCCCTTCATTTCAATTTGATTTCACTGTTTTGAGCTCAAAATGAGCCAAAACGGTGTCGAATAGAAACAGCCAGGGAAATTTCACACAGCCCTAGTGACTAGTACCTATAGCTAGGCTCTGCAAATCCCAGTGCAGCTATTTGCCTCCTTCATCCCCACCACACTGCTGCAGCTAACCCTGGGAAGCTATGTGCCAGTGGCTGCAGCAGTCTACTAAAGCCCCTCACTGCTGCTGCCAGCTGCTTCCTGAGCTGTACAACCTGCCTGATGGGGCTTGTCAGTGCTTTGGCCCCCAGCTCCCCATGCTGCACCTGTGGCAGGGCAGGACAGGGTGGGGCGGGCACCCCCACCCCCAGTGTGTCTTTGCAGAGCCACTGGAACCCAGCACCTCAGCACCCATGCCCATCCCTGCACTTGAACAGATGTAGCACCTTCTGTTGCTGCAACTGCCACTGCTGGCGTCATCTGTGCCTGCCCCCTAGCCAAACTGAAAGCAGTTTTAGGGCCTAAAGGGGCAAGGTGGAGGTAAGGGAAGCCAGAGTGACTCCCCTGGGCCTGCGGCTGAGCCCCACAGTGCACCCTACCTGCCCCATCCGTGTCCAGACCTGGGCTCAGAGAGGCCCCACCCACCTGGTTTATCGTGAGGCATGGCCCTGGGGAGCTGAGGCCCCAGGGAGCCACTGAGTTCCCGCAGCACCTCAGAGGTTTGGAAGCCCCTTGCTGGTGCCAGGTTGGGGAGGGGCGCCTTGCAGGCTGGGCCACAGCAGCCTCACATGGGCCAGGCTGGGGGTTGCCATAACAATTAATCATTTAACTGTTGTAATTACAACAGGTTAAAGGGATATTTTTTCATTGGTATTTATATCCCTATTACTAAGTGCTTTCCCAGAAAGCAGTTATTCATACTTAGCCTAGCTTAATATTAGCGACTGTGAAAAACAGGTTTTTATTCTGCTTTCCTACGCTACTGCTTATGATTTAAATGTAGGTTAATTGGTTATTGACTGAGCTTATTGAATATTGATTGTATTTCATCTTAAGCACGTTATACATAATTCAGATTTTTGTTAGGTCCATAGTCTGCACTTGTCAGTCAGTCACTGACCAGGTCCACAGCTTACAATGACAGTGCAGTATTAATTGGCTTTTTATGGTAGCAAAAAAGGATGGAAAATTTTTCCTTTTTTTTCCTCCTCCCCAGTAATTTAACAGAGAGCTTGGAGACAAACTTAGGGCTGGTCAACTTCAACAGTATGTCTAAAAATAATATTAGAATACTCAATGCTGAACTGTGTTCACGTCCAAAGAGAACTCGTGCCTGTCTACATGCATCCTGTTAAGAAACAGTTTGCTAGTACTGATCGTGAAATTAGTATGAGTCTGCATGGTTGTGTGGGCAGTGCAGTAGTCATGGTGAGGAAATCTCAAAGAGTTGCAGCAGTTGTGCTCCTTAACAACAGGTATATGGCACGTGCTCTGTCTGAGTTGATCTTCATAGTTATGCTTCCCAAGCTGGTTTCTAGAGAATTTTTGAAAGCTGGTTCCTGCAGGGCTAATCTTGTTTATTTTTTTTAAGCTGAGTTTTTTGTTTTTTGCTTTTATAGTCCAGCTTCTTAAATATCCTTAACCTCCTTAAATGTTGCATCTTCAAAAATAAAACAAAACTCTTAAGAAAAATGCAGATTTTCTGTTTCTAAAGGTCTTTCAGCAAAAGAACAACTTATCACAGAGTTGAAAGTGTGAAAGTAAATGTTAGGGCCCCTAATTTTACACTCCTCCTTCACTGCATGCATCTGTGTAAATGATTAAAGGATTATAGCCTGCATTGCCAAGTTAAATGGCTAAATAGATCAACAAATCGTTTTGGTTGAACTGGATTTTTG